ACTTGCTGGAAGTCCAAGCCCTTGCCCACAAAACCTCCTTTACCCCCTCTTTCCAACCTTTTGAGGACGACCCCTACCCCTCCTTCCTTCCCCTATAGATTTATATGCTTTCCATGTCATTCTACTTTGATCCATTCTCTCTAAATGACCAAACCACCTCAACAACCCCTCTTCTGCCCTCTGACTAATGCTTTTATTAACTCCACACCTTCTCCTAATTTCCACACTCCGAATTTTCTGCATAATATTTACACCACACATTGCCCTTAGACAGGACATCTCCACTGCCTCCAACCGTCTCCTCGCTGCTGCATTTACCACCCAAGCTTCACATCCATATAAGAGTGTTGGTACTACTATACTTTCGTACATTCCCTTCTTTGCCTCCATAGATAACGTTTTTTGACTACACATATACCTCAACGCACCACTCACCTTTTTTCCCTCATCAATTCTATGATTAACCTCATCCTTCATAAATCCATCCGCCGACACATCAACTCCCAAGTATCTGAAAACATTCACTTCTTCCATACTCCTCCTCCCCAATTTGATATCCAATTTTTCTTTATCTAAATCATTTGATACCCTCATCACCTTACTCCTTTTTATGTTCACTTTCAACTTTCTACCTTTACACACATTCTCAAACTCATCCACTAACCTTTGCAATTTTTCTTTAGAATCTCCCATAAGCAAAGTATCATCAGCAAAAAGTAACTGTGTCAGTTCCCATTTTGAATTTGATTCCCCATAATTTAATCCCACCCCTCTCCCGAACACCCTAGCATTTACTTCTTTTACAACCCCATCTATAAATATATTAAACAACCATGGTGACATTACACATCCCTGTCTAAGACCTACTTTTACCGGGAAGTATTCTCCCTCTCTTCTACATACCCTAACCTGAGCCTCACTATCCTCATAAAAGCTCTTTACAGCATTTAGTAACTTACCACCTATTCCATATACTTGCAACATCTGCCACATTGCTCCTCTATCCACTCTATCATATGCCTTTTCTAAATCCATAAATGCAATAAAAACTTCCCTACCTTTATCTAAATACTGTTCACATATATGCTTCAATGTAAACACTTGATCTACACATCCCCTACCCACTCTGAAGCCTCCTTGCTCATCCACAATCCTACATTCTGTCTTACCTCTAATTCTTTCAATTATAACCCTACCGTATACTTTTCCTGGTATACTCAGTAAACTTATTCCTCTATATTTTTACAATCTCTTTTGTCCCCTTTCCCTTTATATAAAGGGACTATACATGCTCTCTGCCAATCCCTAGGTACCTTCCCCTCTTTCATACATTTATTAAACAAAAGTACCAACCACTCCAACACTATATCTCCCCCTGCTTTTAACATTTCTGTCATGATCCCATCAGTTCCAGCTGCTTTACCCCCTTTCATTCTATGTAATGCCTCACGTACCTCCACCACACTTACATTCTGCTCTTCTTCACTCCTAAAAGATGGTATACCTCCCTGGCCAGTGCATGAAATTACCACCTCCCTTTCTTCCTCAACATTTAAAAGTTCCTCAAAATATTCTCACCATCTACCTAATACCTCCCTCTCCCCATCTACTAACTCCCCTACTCTGTTTTTAACTGACAAATCCATACTTTCCCTACGCTTACTTAACTTGTTTAACTCACCCCAAAATTTTTTCTTATTTTCATTAAAATTTCTTGACAGTGCCTCTCCCACTCTTTCATCAGCTCTCCTTTTGCACTCTCTCACCACTCTCTTCACCTTTCTTTTACTCTCCATATACTCTGCTCTTCTTATAACACTTCTGCTTTGTAAAAACCTCTCGTAAGCTACCTTTTTCTCTTTTATCACACCCTTTACTTCATCATTCCACCAATCACTCCTCTTTCCTCCTGCCCCCACCCTCCTATAACCACAAACTTCTGCCCCACATTCTAATACTGCATTTTTAAAACTATTCCAACCCTCTTCAATCCCCCCACTACTCATCTTTGCACTAGCCCACCTTTCTGCCAATAGTCGCTTATATCTCGCCCGAACTTCCTCCTCCCTTAGTTTATACACTTTCACCTCCCTCTTACTTGTTGTTGCCACCTTCCTCTTTTCCCATCTACCTCTACCTCTAGGCTTTCTTAACTTGTTTAACTCACTCCAAAATTTTGTCTTATTTTCATTAAAATTTCTTGACAGTGCCTCTCCCACTCTTTCATCAGCTCTCCTTTTGCACTCTCTCACTACTCTCTTCACCTTTCTTTTACTCTCCATATACTCTGCTCTTCTTATAACACTTCTGCTTTGTAAAAACCTCTCGTAAGCTACCTTTTTCTCTTTTATCACACCCTTTACTTCATCATTCCACCAATCACTCCTCTTTCCTCCTGCCTCCACCCTCCTATAACCACAAACTTCTGCCCCACATTCTAATACTGCATTTTTAAAACTATTCCAACCCTCTTCATCCCCCCCACTACTCATTTTTGCACTAGCCCACCTTTCTGCCAATAGTCGCTTATATCTCGCCCGAACTTCCTCCTCCCTTAGTTTACACACTTTCACCTTCCCTCTTACTTGTTGTTGCCACCTTCCTCTTTTCCCATCTACCTCTTACTCTAACTGTAGCTACAACTAAATAATGATCCGATATATCAGTTGCCCCTCTATAAACATGTACATCCTGGAGCCTACCATCAACCTTTTATCCACCAATACATAATGTAACAAACTACTTTCATTACGTGCTACATCATACCTTGTATATTTATTTATCCTCTTTTTCATAAAATATGTATTACTTATTACCAAATTTCTTTCTACACATAGCTCAATTAAAGGCTCCCCATTTACATTTACCCCTGGCACCCCAAATTTACCTACTACTCCCTCCATAACATTTTAACCCACTTTAGCATTGAAATCCCCAACCACCATTACTCTCACACTTGATTCAAAACTCCCCACGCATTCACTCAACATTTCCCAGAATCTCTCTCTCTCCTCTACACTTCTCTCTTCTCCAGGTGCATACACGCTTACTATAACCCACTTTTCACATCCAATCTTTATTTTACTCCACATAATCTTTGAATTTATACATTTGTAGTCCCTCTTTTCCTGCCATAGCTTATCCTTCAACATCATTGCTACTCCTTCTTTAGCTCTAACTCTATTTGAAACCCCTGACCTAATCCCATTTATTCCTCTCCATTGAAACTCTCCCACCCCCTTCAGCTTTGTTTCACTTAAAGCCAGGACATCCAGTTTCTTCTCATTCATAACATCCACAATCATCTCTTTCTTATCATTTGCACAACATCCACGCACATTCAGACTTCCCACTTTGACAATTTTCTTCTTATTCTTTTTAGTAATCTTTACAGGAAAAGGGGTTACTAGCCCATTGTTCCCGGCATTTTAGTTGACTTTTACAACACGCATGGCTAACGGAGGAAAGATTCTTATTCCACTTCCCCATGGATATAAAAGGAAAAGTAATAATACCAAGAACTATTAAGATAAAATCAAAGAAAACTCAGATGAGTGTGTATAAATAAAAGTGTACATGTATGTGTAGTGTGACCTAAGTGTAAGTAGAAGTAGCAAGACATACCTGTAATCTTGCATATTTATGAGACAGACAAAAGACACCAGCAATCCTACCATCATGTAAAACAATTACAGGCTTTCGTTTTACACTCACTTGACAGGACGGTAGTACCTCCCTGGGTGGTTGCTGTCTACCAACCTACTACATGTCATTACCATATTCCCCCTATCTCTCCTGTCCTCCAGTGTCATCAGGTCGATTTCCCTTAACCTTTCCTCATAGGGCATACCCCTTAGCTCTGAGACTAGTCTTGTTGCAAACCTTTGCACTTTCTCTAATTTCCTTACATGCTTGGCTAGGTGTGGGTTCCAAACTGGTGCTGCACACTCCAGTATAGGCTTAATGTACATGGTGTACAGGGTCCTGAATGATTCCTTATTGAGATGTTGGAAGGCTACTCTAGGTTTGCTAGGCGTCTGTATGCTGCAGTAGTTATTTGGTTGATGTATGCCTCAGGAGATGTGCCCGGTGTTATACTCACCCCAAGATCCTTTTCCTTGAGTGAGGTTTGTAGTCTCTGGCTCCCTAGACTGTACTCTGTCTGCAGTCTTCTTTGCCCTTCCCCAATCTTCATGACTTTGCACTTTGTGGGGTTGAACTCCAGGAGCCAGTTTCTGGATGAGGACTGCAGCCTGTCCAGATCCCTTTGTAGTTCTGCCTAGTCCTCATCTTATTGAATTCTTCTCATCAACTTCACATCATCTGCAAACAGGGACACTTCTGAGTTTATTCTTTCTGTCATGTTGTTCACATATACCAGAAACAGCACCAGTCCTGACTGAACTATCGTAACTTTGGGGTCCAGTCCCTGGACCCATTATGTACCTCTGTAATCTTTTGACTGCCGCCCACAGGAAGGGTATAGGGTGCATAATAAAGATATTAAACTAACTAATGCCTAGGACTGACCCCTGTGGAACCTGGCTCATCACAGGTGCCCAATCTGATGCCTTGCCACCTATCATGACTTGCTGTTGTTTACCTGTGTGTGTGTGTGTGTGTGTGTGTGTGTGTGTGTGTGTGTGTGTGTGTGTGTGTGTGTGTGTGTGTGTGTGTGTGTGTGTGTGTGTGTGTGTGTGTGTGTGTGCGTGCGTGCGTGCATGCGTGCGTGCGTGCGTGTGTGTGTGTGTGTGTGTGTGTGTGTGTGTGCATGTGTGTATGTGTGTGCTTGGAGGAAAGTATATTTCTGGCATTTAGTACAGCCCAGTATGCCTTAAAAATCTCTTTCTAAATTTCTAACTTCATTCTGTGGCCTAAACCCATGTCAGACCTGTAAAGCCACATTAAGAAATCTTGTTAAGTTCCCCATTTTGTCCCTACTGGAGCATTTCATAATTTATTGACCCTGTACCCTTACCTCCCTGCCCTGGATGCTTTAGTTCAATGAGCACACAGCATCCAAAGAGTAGAAATAGCATAGATGACCCCCAGAGCATCAACCCAACTGCAGGTGGCATTGACGGACTCGGTGCGGGTGACGGCACCCAGCTCCCTATTGCTCACACCCATCGTTATCCATCCAAACACAGGTCTGCCAGTGCTCATGCGGTGCAGGTGAGTTACGTCCTCCCCAGGACTACTGATAATAATACAGATGATGATAATCTTTATATTTTTTATACAGTTTATAAAAAGGCTTATAGTCCTGCACAACATCTAGAGCAAGTCAAGTGTAATAATCACGCGTGCACAGGCTTTTCAAATTTTGATGCTATACGCTTTATTGGATATTACATATTTGCTTTCTTTTGAATGTGCAATTCTATAAAACTATAGCTGTATAGCCCTTGTGGCTTAGTGCTTCTTTTTGATTATAATAATAATATAAAACTATATTTGCATTATAATTGTATCAAAACTGTAACCATATGAACTGTAGACTTTAATATAACTCCTATGTACATTTATAAGAAATAAAGAATTGTATTATTATTATTATTATTATTATATGCATGCACTTGGAATGGTGACAGTGTTATATGAAGCTTATGGTTCGGTTTTCATGGAAAGGAATTAACAGTGCAGTGTTATATTATAGTAGAATACTTACAATCAAATATCAAATGATATTTTTACAGATAATTAAATTAACAATATTATTTCATTATTATCATCTGTTACAGGAAGACAATGTGGCAGTTTATAATTTTAAAATCTAGATGATTTTTTATATTTCTGGGAAAGCACTAAGCCTGTATGGATCATACAGCATGTGAGGAATGAGAGGTAATCAGGTTCAATCCAAAGGTGAAGATATCACCAACTCTTTGGATCAATAGCCCTTTTTTCAGTGCACCTACATTTGCAGCTTAGCAGGCAGATTATGTTAAACCATCACATTGGTTTCAAAAATACAGATTATTGTTTATGGGAATTAGGTATTGACAGGGCAAAATGGAATTGATCTTGCAACACTTCAACATTACTTGACTGATCAACTGGATTTGACGATAATGTCTGAGCACCAAGACAATGGTTACTTTTCCAGTGGAAAGCTCTTCTTTTCAGTAATAAGAGGTTCTGGGATAAAAATTGGGTAGAGTGGAAATCATAATGTGGCTACATGACGACAACTCTAGTTTATGCTCTCTTATACTTTTTTCCTTTTTTTTTTTTGTGGATGCAGTTCATGGTATTTCAGTTCAATCTTAATAACAAATGTCCCTCAAGATAGGTACAAATGGAGTGAGTTTTATTATTACCTGGAAGGTGTTTTGAGGATCGACACCCCTGTGGCCTGGTCCACGACCAGGCCCTGCAGCATAATAAGCTTACAAATGGACAGTATTTTGGCATACTGTAAATACACACAAGATATGTGACCACCGTAGCTTCATCATGCATAAGATTAGTGTAAAGTTAACAGAAATGAAAGAATTATGGCATTTACTTCTTAGCTTCCATCTATTGACCATGTGCCTAGTACTGGTCTCCCCCCTTTTTTTTTTTACCTGATGTGTTTTTTCAGGCCAAACTTGAACTGTAGGACAGTCTTGACTGTGAGATCTTTGAGAGATCTTTTTACTCTCGAGAAGAATCTCACATTGTCTATCCTTCATTACAATTATACGATCTGAAGCCACAGTCAGGGTGTACCAGGAGAGAAAATAAAACTACCACCACAAAAATTGTACCCAGTACCTGTTCCCGTACACCAAACCCACTGTCAGCAACTGTCTAAGTATTCTCAGAAACCTAACCATGCCCTACAAGGAGTCTCAAAGCCTTGTACTATATTTGAATGCACTTAATTACTGTATTATCACATGCAAATTTCAGCTTAAATCTGCATATTTATGTTCTTTTATTGTTCTTGCTTTAAAAGTATTAATGTTATGTTAAACAGAACCTGCAATCTAATATAATAATTTTTTTTTCAGTTCCGAGCCCCTAGTCCCACCGCCGCCTCCAATGCCAGTACCTCCACTTCTTCCGCGGCCCTTTCAGTGTCACAACCCTCCATTACTTCTTCCGCCTCTTCCAAATCATCACATGTAGCATCATCTCATGAGACATTGAGAACCTCCACTACAATCTCCTCCAGTGTCAACACAGTTCTTTACAACCATGCATTTATGGAACCTCTCCCACCTAGAGTTGCAGCCCCATCTCTCAAGAAGTCCCCTAGCCAGCCCCAGTCCCATTCTAGGCCAGGCTCAAATTCCTTCACTAGTAACACACTCACTCCTGGCTCCTCCATGACCTTGAGTCGTTCCTTCACAACTGCTGCCGTATCTTCCCACCTCTCTACACGATTCCAGAAGAGAGGAAGTGGAAATTCTTCTTCATTCCACTCGAGTGATGATAGCGGATTCAGCAATGAAAGTGGTAGTTTGCGACCTCCAGTCAACCCCGATGCTGACTATTCTGATGATGATCTTAATGGGTAAGGTCTTAAAGGCTATTCATTGTTAGTTTGCTTGCCACATTCATCATATAAATGTTTTGTTGTAAATTTGTTGCAAATGTACTTGTCCTGCTTATGCTTTTGTTTGCATTATTTGTCTACTTCTTCTGTTTTCCTTTGCTTTCACTGTCATTCCTTTGCTCCACCAGAGTTGCCTCACATTCCATGAATAGTCTCAGCTCGCGGTGGTTGAGCTCTGCTTCAACTGTGCCCTACATCTCAGAGCCTGTATCTCTTCCATGTCTTCAGAACTCTGAGTCATTCAGTTCCTGCGAGCCACTATCCCTTCAACACATTCCACCTCTCCAGGAATCAACAGTGACGCTCCCAACACCCAGCCGCAGACATAAGACCTTGAAATGCAAACATCATCGAGATTTTTCTCTCCCCTCTTTGTCCATTGACCATTTTGTCACTATGGCTCGTAGAAAATCCAACAAGGCAACTCCCAATTCTCCCTGTGCCCAGAAGATTGCTGCTCAACGAGAACGTGGAAAAGAGCAAGGTAAAAGAAAGAGAACTTTACACCGAAGTTCATCTTTACTCTGCCTTGGGATGGACAGATGCACAGGAATCCTAGATGATCTCCAGAGTGCTGACTATGAGGATGTTTGGTCCAAAGATTGGAGACACTCATCACTCATAGACCTACATATAAATATACCAGATCCTCCACCTTTCGAGGCTCCTTCACCACCAATTCCTGCTCCCAATCAATCATCTGATTATTCAGTTCGACCTCCTATGCCTATCCCACAAGATGAGCAACAGTCACCTAGATCATCTACTCACACTATCACAAGTGACACATCTCCACAGAACTCATCATCTGGAAACAGTACACTGACAGGCAGTGACGAGGAAAATGAAGGAGAAATTTATATGGTAATAAGTGATCATCGTCAAGAATTACGAAAAACCATCACTCGAGCTCGGTCTAGAAAACAGGTGTCCCGCTCTCTTACATGGGCATCTCCAGCTCATCGTTCCATTTCCTCCCCTCCTAAACTCCCACCATCTGTTGTCACTAAATCTTCAAAGAGCACATTTTCAGAAAAAAGCAATTGGTCTAGAAGCCAATCAGAACAGTCTTCTCAACAGAGTAGTCATAAATATAAATCTTCACAATCCAGTTATTCCACTCACCAATCGGATACCACTGTAACACCTTCACCTCCACTTCCTCCCAAGAAAAGGTCATCACGCCCTCAGTATCCACTTCCAGATGATCTTCCTTGTCAAGACCAGCCTCAACCACGGTACCAGTGCTCTAGTTCCTGGAAGTATGTTGGGGATGTCAACATCCTAAACTACAGTGACTTTATGAATCGTCGCTTGAAATGCCCTGAGGGTGTCTCACGCCTGGATCAAGTCTCCTTCACCACTGGAAACTTATGTGGACCCTGGTATGACCTCTGGGAAGATGACCCCTCAGTGGCCGACGTCTAATTTGTACAAATCAGTGTTCAGTTTGTTAAGAAATGACAGTCAATACACCAAGTTATTCTTCCAGATGTGAAATATATTTAAGGGATTTTAAATCTATAAGAACCACCCATTTCAAATTATTATGTTAGCCAAAATGTGTCTGTTTACCACTTACATTTCTGTCATGCATGTGTCTATAATTAAGTCTTTTGTAACTTGGTTGGCTGTACTTTAATGCATTCCATAGCAGAAGAAGCATTGTTTTTTGTCAGTGTTTCCAGACAATTTTTCAGAGGTGCCAAATCTCACATTTACTTGATAAATATTTCAGTTTTGGACCTTTGATTACAACAAATGTATTTTTAAATATTTTTTTCATATATATATAGTATTGTAGTTTCACATGTACTAATAAATTACAACTGTGTTTGCTGCAGTAGCTAAATCTTTCTTTCTAAATGTTCATATTCATTTGCAATCCCAGATCAAATTGAGAGTAAATTTGTTATAAGAATCTAAGCAAACAGACTGCTGTAGAAGAATGGTAAAGACTCCAATTTTACCTGATTTTCCATACACCTTTTGCATAATATATTGTTTCACTGTCATGAGTTAAGAGGACAGTTGTACTGTCACACTATGTCAAAGTGAAATTACCTGGATTCGGTACCTCTATTCAGTGCTTTAGCTTAGAAAACATACATCCTCATTTGCTGTGCTGCTTTGCTTCTCTTAAGTATTTATTTGTTGTTGAGTTTTCAGTGTCAGCTATGCTATCCTCTTCCTGTTTTAGATGCTATTCAAAATGCCTTACAAAATCATTCTTTGGAGCCAAGCAAGAGACACTGTTAAATTTGTTTAGTTCTCCATGAAAAAGGTAATTTGCTGTGGTATATAAAAGGTTGTCAAAACTAAGCACTAAACCACAATGGTCATAAAAATGGTTGTCAAGGCTTGTTAGGTTATCTATAGCATGTTATTTTAGCTTATAACAACTTTTCCAATCAGAGTTTGTTTAATTATATTTTTTTATACTTTTATTGTAAAAGCTGTTGTCTGAAACATATTCTAAAAGAACCTGGCCTATATTACTGTATGTATTTCATAAAGTACTCTTGTATTTAACAAAACTATTTTTATCCCAGATATTTATGTTTATTCTGCGCAAAGTTACAATTCAAATGCAGTATATATAGCTTCTCCTCACTTAGTGACATACTCGTTTACCAATGACTCGGACTTACGACCAGTATGCATACTTAAATAATGTATATTATAGCTGATTTCCTCTATTCTGTTTATTACAATATACAGTATAAATATTTAAAAATATACTAAAAATGCTGTAAAGAGTGAAAAGGTGACATTAAAACAATATCAAAGATGGCTGACACAAACTCACTACCATTATAGTATGCTCCTTGCTTAGCGACAAATTCATTTACCGACGTAGTCTTAGGAACTGAACTCCATCATTAAGTGAGGAGAGGCTGTACTATATGTATACTGAAAGATGTGTATTTTCTAGTGGGTCACCTTACCTCAGTGAGAGATAGTTGATGTGTTAAAGTAAGACTCTGAGAGGTGTCTAGTTTTAGCTTATATGTACTGAGAAGTGTGTAGATTTAGCTTATATATACTGAGAAGTGTGTAGTTTTAGTCTGTATATACTGAGAAGCATGTAGTTTTAGTCTATATATATATTGAAAAGTGTGTAGTTTTAGTCTGTATATACTGAGAAGTGTGTAGTTTTAGTCTACATTTTATATACTGAGTTTACTTCAGTCCTTATTTTAGGGGATAAAGTATTCTTCATTTTGGTGCATGGTTGAAATGTAGACACAAACACCAAGAAGTGTATATATCTCTCAGTGTATATTTCACTGAGTTTACTTTAATTTCTACGTCGGGGATAACAGTATCCTTTATTTTAGTGTCTACAGAGATTGTATCATGACTGACTTTACTGCAATTTATACCGAACAACCTAAGTCAAGCTCTAATATTTCCCACAGTTTTCAGTTACTCAGGTATTGTTTGAAGAGTACTCAAGATATTTTCTCATCTAATTGTGGTTACAGGGGTAGAGTCATAGCTCCTGGCCCTCCCTCTTCACTAGTCACTACTAGGTCCACTCTCTCCCTGCCCCATGAGCTTTATCATACCTCTTATAATAATAATAATATCTTTATTTCTTTAAGTACATGTACAAGGTATACAGGCCTAGTTGACATCAATGACATACTGCATTTCGGGCAAATTAAGTCAATTTTGTCCCAGGATGCGACCTACACCAGTCAACTAACATCCAGGTATCCATTTTACTGATGGGTGAACAGGGACAGCAGGTGTCTTGTGGAAACATGTCCAGTTTTCCAGCCGTACCAGGGATTAGATCCCTGGACCTCAATGTGTGAGCTGAGTGTGCTAGCGATCGAGCAAGCTATGTATAGATCCTGCCTCCACTACATCACTCTCCAGACTAGTATTCCGCTTCCTGACAACTCTGTGACAGCAGAAATACTTCTAGCATCCCTGTGACTTATCTGAGTCTTCAACTCCCAATTGTGGCCCCTTGTTGCTGTGTTCCATCTCTGAAACATCCTGTCCCTATCCACCTTGTCAATTCCTCTCCGTATTTTATATGTTGTTATCATGTCCGCCCTATCCCTCCTGTCCTCCAGTGTTGTCGGGTTAATATCTCTTTACCTCTCTTTGTAGAGCGTGCCCCATAGCCCCAGGACTAATTTTGTTGCAAACCTTTGTACAGCTATGCTTGTTTACAGTAAGAGAGTGCCTTGAAATACTTTTACATGTGGCCATCTAGCCATGTCATAATTCTAAGGTTTTTGTATATACACGGATATCTGCTGTATAGATACTGTTTGTTTAATAATTTTCCTTTGACCTTAGTAAGCAGTCCAGAGCATATCTCTCTTAACCCTCTGACTGTTTTGGTTGTATATATACATGTACATCTTACGAGCCAATGTGTTGTGACGTATATATACTCAAAAATTCTAGTGGCTTCAAATCAAGCAGGAGAAAGCTGGTAGGCCCACATATGAGGGAATGGGTCTGTGTGGTCAGTGTGCACCATATAAAAAAAATCCTGCAGCATGCAGTGCATAATGAGAAAAAAAACTCCGACGATGTTTTTGGATTAAAACGCCGACTTTGAGATGTATTTTCATATAGTTTTTATGGTTATATTCTCGTTTTCGTAGTCACATTTAATAGAGTGGAAAACATATTATAGAAATAGAGGTGATTTTGATTAGTTTTACTAAGAAAAGGATCTTGAAATGGAGCTCAAATTAGGGGAAATGTTTGATTTTTGCCGATGTTCAAGAGTAAACAAATGGTGTCATTGTCCAATAAATGTCCATCTAGCCATTCTAATATGCAGTCATGAATGGGTTGATATTATTTATACAATTATTACAATATTGCAGTAGTCTTCATCACAGTAAATCTTCTATTTTTTGTTTGAATAAAAATTCAAAATAGAAAGCAAGAGCAATATCAGAGGGGCCTGGAGACATGAATGATGAACAAAGAAAATGCTATTTTAAAGCCAGGAATGTCTGCATTGTTCATTCTGGACCTTATTTTGAAATTGGCATATTTTTTAATTTGCATGAAATTGGCCAAATTGTCAATTTCTGACCACTTTATTGAGAAGTTGAAATCAGTAAATGGGTAGTTTCTTGTACTCAATCGATAGAACAAATGGAGTTCTAAAGAAATAGTTATGAGTTTGGTTGAAAATAGGGCTCAAACTGGGTGAAATCGCCGATTTGTAAATATCGCCGAGGTTGCTAACTTCACGAGAGAGTAATTCCATCAGTTTTCCATTGTTCCAGTCGACCAAACTCATAGCTATTTCTTTAGAACTCTGTTTTTTCTATCGATTGAGTACAAGAAACTGCCCATTTACCGATTTCAACTACCTAATGACATGGTCAGAAATTTGCAATTTGGCCAATTTCACGAAAATTAAGAAAATGACAATTTCAAAATAAGGTCCAGAATGAACAATGCAGACATTCCTGGCTCTAAAATAACATTTTCTTTGTTCATCAGTCATGTCTCCAGGCCCCTCTGATATTACTCTTGCTTTCTATTTTGAATTTTTATTCAAACAAAAAATAGAAGATTTACTGTTATGCAGACTACTGCAATATTGTAATAATTGTATAAATAATGTCAACCCATTCATGACTGCATATTAGAATGGCTAGTTGGACATTTATTGGACAATGACATCATTTGTTTACTTTTGAACATCAACAAAAATCAAACATTTCCCCTACTTTGAGCTCCATTTCAAGGTTCTTTTTACAGTAAAACCAATCAAAATCACCTCTATTTCTATAATATGTTTTCCATTCTATCAATTGAGACCAAGAAAACGAGAATACAACCATAAATACTATACGAAAATAGACCACAAATTTGGCATTTTAATTTAAAAAAATGGTTGGAGTTTTTTTTTCTCATTATGCACTGCGTGCTGCAGGATTTTTTTTTATATGGTGCACACTGACCACACAGACCCATTCTCTCACATGTGGGCCTACCAGCTTTTTCCTACTTGATTTGAAGCCGCTAGAATTTATGAGTATATATATGTCAAACAAGGTACCTCATAAGACGTATATATACGACCGAAACAGTCAAAGGGTTAAAGGCAATTTTCCCAGTGACATCAGGGTATATACACTAAGAGGTAATGTATATATCTCTCAGTGAACTACTTTAATTCCTATTTTAGGGATTAAAGTATAGTTGCTCCTTGACTTACAATGGTTCAACTTTAGATGGTGCAAAAGCAATTATTTTGGAGATGAAACTGAAGGTAATTATAAATGAAGGTGGCAAGTCTATAACTTGTATTCATTTAATTTTCAATACAGGTCGGTCATCACTAATCCGGCATCATTGGGACCTGTAGTGTGCCGGATTAGTGAGTTTGCCAGATTATAGTGTGGTTAGGTTAGAATACACTTAATTAACCTATCGATAGAGACTTTTTCTGCTACATCTTTCTCATTTTCATCACTGCTTTCTCCTCTACTGGCTTGCTGCTGTGGATTTACAACCATCTGCACAATTTCCAAGTCAGTATAATGATGAAATTTGAGTCAGTATAATGATGAAATTTGAAATTATGCTAGACAAAATTAGTGCCGGATTACTGATGGAACCGGATAACTGGTTGCCGGATTAGTGATGGTCGACCTGTACTAGTAGTATTTAGCTAGTTACAATAATTATTTGTTTATTTATTCAGAGACAGTAGTTATTTATTATACCATATTTATATTTGACTCACGATAAGTTTGACAGAATATAACCCCATTGTAAATCAAGGAGCATCTGCATTCTTGATTTGTGTGTACAGGTGATAAGGCTGGAAACCCAACCAGCCAACCATCATCCCACTGAGCACGTCGCTATTGACGTCAACAAGGTTACCGTATGAATCTTAACTAGGAAAATTCTAATAGGCTCGGCACCGAGGGTAGCCATCATGTGCATATTTACCGAGTTGTTTGTTTTGCAGTCACCAGTCAACTTGTGTTGCAGGGTTGCTGGCAGTCAGAGACAAGACCCACCCCACAAGACACCTCAGAACTGCTACAAAAAGAAAGAAAAAGTGTACAAGTAGAGATTATCTAGTGAAAATAGTCTTATATTCCTCTCTAATCTGAGCTACACCTCAGCAAACAAGTGAAAATGTTTGATGTGAGAAATTAAGTCATGAATCCTAATTTCAAAAATAAAATAATTGCAATATTAATAGCCACAAAATATGAAAAATTCTTAATAAATGTATTTACACAAATAAAAATGGATTGAGGAAAGGAGTTTTTCAGATGATTTTTATGTTAATCAATATCATCTGTGTTGACTGATTATATTCATTACACATGAACTATAGTGTTTAGCTGCATAATATGAGTGGTATGCAGCCATTGCTGGACCTATTTGGCCAAAATTGTATACATGTATAATAGAGGGAGTGTCAAATTTTTATACTTGTACATATATGTCTTTGTTTCATTTTTTGCTGAAATAGAAAATTACATACATATACATCATAGCTTCTGTTTTTGTACATATATTTAGGAAGACTGAATTATTTGGACCTCCTGAATTTCAAAAGGTTATGTAATTACGTATATATTAGAATTATGTATATACTGAATCACATGAGTAATATTTTGAATAAAAGAAAAAAGATAATGCATGAAGTGTATGATATCTGGTAAATGATGTTAGAATGATTACAAGTCTCAGGTCGGAATAGATCTTTATAATGTATATTTAGCAAGTAATACCTAAAACCTGAAATACTGATGAGAGTTACAAAGCTAAAAGTTGTTTAAGATGTTATTTTTCAGTTTTTCCAAATGGGATGGCTGAAGTGCATGGCCTAAGATCATGTCAAATATGGAACCCTTGAGTTTTGTGTACAGAGTTAACATATTGTACCAAGCAATATGCTTGGTACAATATGTGTTTATGTGTACATATATTTACTTGTGCAAATGTATGTGTGTGTGTGGATGAAGACATGAGCTGTATATTTTTCAAAATCAAGTTGACCCTTGATATTTGCATATACAGTGGACCCCCGGTTAACGATATTTTTTCACTCCAGAAGTATGTTCAGGTGCCAGTACTGACCGAATTTGTTCCCATAAGGAATATTGTGAAGTAGATTAGTCCATTTCAGACCCCCAAACATACACGTACAAACGCACTTACATAAATACACTTACATAATTGGTCGCATTCGGAGGTGATCGTTATGCGGGGTCCACTGTACTGTGAAGGCAGTGAAACACTTAGCTAAATATTTATTATTATAATAAGAAAAGAGGTGCTAAACCTACCAGGGTCATACAGCTAAATATTTGTGGCTAAGTGAATCATTCAGGTTTCTGAGTCATTTCTTGAAAATTTAAATTCAGGAGAATCATGTTATTTAGAACATTATTTTTACAAATAGGGCAAAAGTATATTAACTTTAGCATTTATGAGTTGCTTGGGTTTCCAAATACTGCACGTGCAAAGTATCCCTTTGTAATATTGGGTTGCTGTTGCAACAGTTGCAACAGTAGTGTGTCCAATCTAAATATGTAAGGTGAAATTGAGAGATGTGTGAATGAGCTACAGTTATCCAGGGAAATAAAGTTATTATAGCCATCAGTGTTTTATTCTGCACCAGACTGTCATAAAACATAAACACATGTATATAAGGTGTGTGTGTGTATGTGCGCACATTGCAAAGTACGTGTATATAATATACTCGTGGGGAATTGTAATGAAGGTCTTGCATTATAACCCACACACAATGTATCCAGGTGAATGATGCATCAATCCAACGCTTCCATACCCTTTCCTATATTACTAAGTGCTGTTGAGCCCTTCCTTGCTAGGTATTATCCTGAACACCACTGTAGCCTTGAGATAGAGCACTAATGGAGCAACTAGTGCTTTGCGTTCCTTTCTCTACTCAATTTCCAATTATATAGGCCTCTTGCCTGAACGTTCATTACTCTTAACTATATTATATCATTTGTGAAGTTCCTTAGTGAATGTATCTTTCTACGAGACTCCACAGTGCTATTCAGCATGATTGAGAAGATTGCACAACACCCCAGTGCAAAAAAGTTAAAACACATTGACTCAAGACAGTCTAACAGTCTTACGAGTTGATTAATTTGATTCAAACCCTATCGACTATACTAGTTTTTAAGGCTGCACATAACCCATTCACCACCAAAGTATGTTTCAATCCCTAAAATAGGGATTAAGGGAGACTCTTAACACACAAACACAGATACACCTCTCAGTGTATATATTCTGTGCTTTTGTCAAGACTGCTATTGTTATTATAATAAAAAAGAAGCGCTAAGCCACAAGGGCTATACAGCGCTGCATCAAGACTGCTAGTTCATGGTGTGGGAGCCCCACATTTCACACATTTGCCCTTGGGGAAGTGCTTAACACATGGGGAGTCATGCAGCACCAAAGGAACAAGAAGCATTAACATTTAATTGAAGAAGGGGAGGATAGCTTCAATTCTCCGGATTCAGGGCATTTCACATTCCTCAAGTCACCTTCTTGAAGTATACCTGAAGGTGGTTTTGAAAGTCAATTCCCCCATGGTCCAGTCTGTGACCAGGCCTTGCAGGGGATCAGGGCCTGATCAACCAGGCTGTTACTGCTGGCTGCATGTAAACCAACATAAGAACCACAGCCTGGCTGGTCAGGAACTGACTTTAGGGGCCTGTCCAGCACCTTCTTGAAGACAGCCAGGGGTCTATTGGTAATCCCTGTTATGTATGTTGGGAGGCAGTTGAACAGTCTTGGACCCCCTGACACTTATACTGATCATAAATATTACCATCACTTAAGTATCCATTGCAGCAGTTCAATACTCATTGCTATTATTATTTTTAACTTATAGTAGGACCCCCATATCTGCAGGGAACATGTTCCAAGGACCTGCCGTAGATACCGAAACCGTGGATAGTACCTAACCCTATATATCAGTCTTATACATATCTATTATAAAGTTTAACTGATAAATTATGCACAATAAGTAGAGAATTATCACTTTTTCACTAATGGGAAGCACTTCACAGCTTCTCTTAGGCTTTGAAGAACTGCCAGCATCTTTACTTTTGCACTCTGGGACCATTATTATGCAAAATTAAGAGGTATTTTTGGGCCACAGTAAACAATGGATAACTGAAACCATGGATACCAAATTAGTGGATATGAGGATTCTACTGTATTAGATTTATTATGTTACGGCAATTATTATTACTAATAATAAAGCACTAAAATCATATGACTTGCATGCCATTATTTACAAGGTTAATAAAAAAAATTCTCAAATTAATTAAAATGTCTTGATTCTTTAAAACATTGTCTCTCCAGACACAATGCAACATATACATTTTGTATTACATAAGGCACTTTGCACTAGACAGGGCCAGGAGCTATGAATTGACGCCCTGCAAACTCAAACTAGGTGAGCACCGTCTACTCAAGCTCTCGGCAGTAGCACTTGCTATATAAATATGGAATAAATATAATTAACCAAATCACATAATCAGTCTGGAAGTATGATTATAAATTTGTTGATATAAAATAAAAAATATAATTATTATTATTATTATTCCCAAGTAACTCTCACTCTCCAAAGTGACATTTTTGTCCTCCACGATTATCAAATCACGTATTATTATTTTATTTTACAACGATTTTCATCATATTCTCATATTTTTAAATATTAAAATATAATTTAAAAATCCTTGGTGGGGTTTTAGCTGAACCTGACAAAGTTCCTCGACAACCAGAGATATCTTCACTTATCCATCAAGTTTGCAATTTAATTTAGCTATCCACAAATTTTCAATTTATTTCAGCTAGTGACTAGTTTTTAATTTGCTTTAGTTATCCACTAATGTTACTTTATTGTATCGACTAGATCATAATTTACTCTTTTCATTACCACTTTCTTTTTTTCTTATGCGTTTATTTTGGGAAAGTTTCTCTCCGTTCTTTTGTGTCCCAAATTTACCCTGGCCCTTCAACCCTAAGTTCTTAGGGTTACCCACTTTGCCTTCGCCTTTTTTGGGCCCTCCTTGAGAACCATGTGTCTGCTGCCTGTTCTTGTTCTTCAGGGACTTCTTCTTCTTGTTCTTGTTCTTCTTGCCTTTCCTGAGGTAGGGAGCCTTCCTCTTCGTGAAGGACTTGCGGATATTTGGGACGAAGGGTGCAGCTGCCAGGGAGTCCTCAGAGAGTCCTGCAGGATCCTCCTGCCCAGGACCTGAGGGCACATGATAACAAGCTTTTAAAAAAGTTCAAGTGGATGGCTGGTTGTCTGGGTTTGAAGTCTATCGGTTGTACGTGGGCCAACAAAGCTGCATTTCACCTGTACACCACCAATCAAAAATATATAAATCCCTCAGATAGAGATTAACAAAACTTTAACTGCATGTGTGGGTGGGCCTCACTTTACAGTGCTTCGCTGTATGGCATTTTGATAATGTAGCAGTTTTCAACTGTACCCATTCTTCATCTATTCAGAATCATTACAATATATTTACCACTCACTATAAATTATGGATGAAAATATTTTAAGGTAAGTAATGTGTGTACTGTAAAGGCATAATTTAGGCCTAGCTCTATTGCTCACTTAATAAAAAGATAATAATTTTATTTCCTTGTAAAGGTTACTAAGTGTAATTACAATTTGGGTTTAATAAGTACAAGAAAAACCACTCATGCTGGGGCATTTCGGGCAGACTAATCCTAGTACATAATGACTACTTAAATCTACTGTAAGCATGTCATCAGGCTTTTATATGCACCTGAAAGTGAAAAAATAATTATGTTTCACTTTACAGCTATTTTTGTTTCACAACAATTGTCCGGAACCTGACTTACTGTATAAGCGGGGCCCTTCTGTACTGAATATACTATTGTGTATTTAATCTCATACACACTGCTTGGCTTAAATACTGTACATTATTTTTATTATTACAATCAAAACTTAATGCTAAACCCACAAACGTTATACCACAAGCTTGAATACATTATTCTTCAATTTCCATGTGTTGTGATTATTATAATTATTTTAAATTAATGGCAAGTGCTAAATCTGGAGGGGTCATGAAGTGCCTGGGGAGTGGGAATTAATTAGGTTTGAGCCACAGAAAGGGAAATTAGCTCCAATTCTTTTAGGTTTCGAGTCCCCACCAACAACACAAAAGGAGGTGCGCTCACCCTGGTCATCCTGGAGGTCGTCAACTCTGGCATCTTCAAGAGGTAGTGCCTCAGGTGCCCCAACCAGTCCCTCCTCTGCCCCCTCCTCCTCCTTGCTTAGCTGAAGACGCTGCTGGGCTTGCTGTGCCAATAACAATTATTATTATTATTATTTTTAATATTATTATTATATTGGGAAAATAACACTGGTCCTATGTGGGTCAAGAACACAAGAATGAATGAACACTGCACTAGGCCTATTAGCCCATGCTTGGCAGGCCCAACTCATACCCACCCACCTATCTAATCTATTGTACATTTAAATCTACTCAAAGTTCTTGCCTCAATGACATTTCCTGCGAGTTTGTTCTACTCATCCACAACTCTATTACTATAGCAGTACTGCCCTATATATTTTCTAAATCTAAATTTGTTCAGCTTGGCTCTGTTGCTGTAAGTCCACACTGCAAAGGTGATTTTTTGAGTTAGATGGAAGAAAATTGTTGGAATTACGTTAAGCAACCTATCGTCACAGTTGTTGCTTCTGTTTTATATGCGATATGCGTACTTTATACACTATACAGCTTTTATGTTTAGTTGAGTTAGAATAACTTCATAAGCCTGGCTTTGTGTACTTACATGTGGTTACAGAGATCAAGTCACAGATCCTGATCCTGCCTCTTAGCTGGTCGCTACTAGGTCCACTCTCCCCTGGCTTCAATAGCCTTGTTGTACCTCTTCTTAAAGCTATGTATGGATCTTGCCTCTACCACTTCACTCTCTAGACTGCTCTACTTCCTGACAACTCTAAGGCTGAAGAAATACTTCCTAACATCCCCATGACTCATCTGAGCTTTCAACTTCCAGCTGTGTCCTCGTGTTCCTATTTCCCATCTCTGAAGCATTCTGTCACTATTCACCTCATCAATTCCTCTTAATATTTTGTACAGTGTTATCATATACCCCCTAGTCCTCCTGTCCTCAGAGTCATTAGGTCGAGTTTCCTTGACTCTCCTCACAGGATGTGGAGAAATTTTCTCCAGGAGGGGGTATCAGCCTCCTTCAGCCCCTTTCAGCCCTGAGGGGCCCAGCCCTCTCAGAAGGGGCAAGCATCTTGTTTACTGCTACAGCGAGTAATTGATAGCAGATGCAGTACGAGTATGGGACGTGTAAGTAAGTAAGTTTATTCAGGTATACACAAATACAGTTACATAGAATTATCATACATAGCAGCATCTGTGTAGAGAACCTAGGATAACCCAAAAAAGTCAGACAGAGTGACTTATTTCCATTGGGGTCGCTTCGACCAACGCTCCTTGCAGACTCCAGTGTTGTAAGGTGTATTTTAATAAGAGACAGTCCATCTCTTACCTTAGCAGGACAATTAAGGAAAATCCTGCTCCCACTTTATTACCATGGTAGAGATAGTGTATATTGTTGTCTATGCTTAAGATAGCAAGAATCAAACATTCTGTTTTGCTTCATGGAGGAAGTGGCAAGGAAGCAAAAGTACTAGGTCAGCTTTTCCTTTGTGCTGGGGGCAGTGACGGCGTGGGGCATTGTGGCGTCTTCAGATTACTTTCGACTCTACTGAGAGTGACACTGATGCCAGGATAACCAACAAAGAACACTGATCTGTGCGTTAGTGTGAACAAAGTGTCTCATAAAACACAATAAACACTTAAGAGAAGTGTGATCAGCTTCTTTAGTGATAAGATTGTGAACAATAAAGACAAATCTTGTGGAACATAGTGTACCAGTGTGCGTATTCCTAAACTATGGAAGACGTGGACATCCAAGGACACTTCAGCTTCTATCAAGTCACCGATACCTGTCGAAGGTGTGAAGAACACCATAGCTCACGCTACAAGAGCAAGGTAGGTTACGAATTTCTTGTAGTACGGGGGAGTGCGCAGTTCTTGAGTCGCAAGGAGTTTGTAATCAACCTATAGTCGGCAGTTAGGTGCGGACTTTTGAGTCCACACAAGTAAGTTTGTCAGCCATCAGTGAATGAAATATGCTGACATAACACCCCCTAGGGGTAAATTATTTTTTACATAATATGATCTATTCCAGCCCGTTGAGAGGTGATCATGACAACAATTCAAGACCTCGTCTGCAGGGGCGGCTGTGTAGACGATTTGCTGTCTTTTATCAGCTAAGTGTTCCCTATATTTAAATTTATAAATTATATCTTAGTTGGTAATCCCATTTCTCAACACAGGATATACCCTTGGTACTGACATTATTCTTGTTGCAAATATTTTTACTTTCTCCAATTTCTTGATATGTTTGACCAGGTAGATAAGAGAGAAAGTGTGTGAGTGTGTGTGTGTGTGTGTGTGTGTGTGTGTGTGTGTGTGTACACTCACCTATTTGTGGTTGCAGGGGTCAAGTCATAGCTCTTGGCCCCATCTCTTCAGTGATTGCTACTAGGTCCTCTCTCTCCCTACTCCACAAGTTTTATCAAACCTCGCCTTAAAATTATGTATGGTTCCCACCTCCAATACATCACTTTCTAGGCTATTCCACTGCCTGACAACTCTATGACTGAAGACATACGTACTTCCTAACATCCCTTTGACTCATCTGAGTCTTCAACTTCCAACTGTAACCCCTTGTTTCTGTGTCCCACCTCGGGAACATCCTGTCTTTGCCCACCTTGTCTATTCTGCGCAGTATTTTATATGTCGTTATCATGTAAACTTGCAAGGAAATAAAAACTGTACGTATTGTATTGTATGTCTTCCCTGACCATCCTGTCCTCCAGTGCCGTCAGGCCAATTTCCCTTAACCTTTGTTCTTAGAACAATCTCCTGAGCTCTGGGACTAGTCTTGTTGCAAACCTTTGCACTTTCTCTAATTTCTTGACGTGCTTGACCAGGTGTGGATTCCAAACTGGTGCTGCATACTCCAGTATGGGCCTGACGTATATGGTGTATGGAGTCAGAATGCTATCCTTAGGTTTGCCAGACGCCCGTATGTTGCAGCAGTTATCTGATTGATATGTGCCTCGGGAGATGTGCTCAGTATTATACTCACCCCAAGATCTTTTTCCTTGAGTGAAGTTTGCAGTCTTTGGTCACTTAGATTATACTCTGTCTGCGATCTTCTTTGCCCTTCCCTGATCTTCATGACTTTGCATTTGGCAGGGTTAAATTCAAGGAGCCAGTTGCTGGACCAGGCTTGTAGCCTGTCCAGGTCTCTTTGTAGTCCTGCCTGATCCTCAACCGATTTAATTCTCATTAACTTCACATCATCTGCAAACAAGGACACTTCTGAGTCTATCCCTTCCGTTATGTCATTCACATATACCAAAAACATCACAGGTCCTAAGACTGACCCCTGTGGAACCCTGATTGTCTGACACCTCGTCACATACCATGACTCGTTTTGCTTCCTTGTCAGGTATTCTTTGATCCATTGCAGTGCCTTTCCTGTTATGTGTGCCTGATCCTCTAGCTTTTGCATTAGCCTCTTGTGAGGAACTGTGTCGAAGGCCTTCTTGCAATCCAAGAAAATGCAGTCTATTCACTCCTCTCTCTCTTGTCTTACTTCTGTCACTTTGTCATAAAAGTCCAGTAGGTTTGTGACACAGGATTTTCCATCCCTGAAACCATGCTGGTTGTTGATTATATGCTTGTTTCTTTCCAGGTGCTCCACCACACTCCTCCTGATAATCTTCTCCATGACTTTGCCTACTATACACCTTAGTGACACAGGTCTGTAGTTTAATGCCTCGCGCGCGCGCGCGCGTGTGTGTGTGTGTGTGTGTGTGTGTGTGTGTGTGTGTGTGTGTGTGTGTGTGTGTGTGTGTGTGTGTGTGTGTGTACTCACCTATTTGTGGTTGCAGGGGTCGAGTCCTAGCTCCTGGCCCCGCCTCTTCACCGGTTGCTACTAGGCCCTCTCTCTCCCCGCTCCATGAGCTTTATCAAACCTCGTCTTAAAACTGTGTATGGTTCCTGCCTCCACTACGTCATTTTCTAGGCTATTCCACTGCCTTACAACTCTATGACTTAAGAAATACTTCCTACTATCTCTCTGACTCATTTGTGTCTTCAACTTCCAATTGTGGCCTCTTGTTTCTGTGTCCCCTCCCTGGAACATCCTGTCTTTGTCCACCTTGTCTATTCCACGCAGTATTTTATATGTCGTTATCATGTCTCCCCTGACCCTCCTGTCCTCCAGTGTGGTCAGGCCGATTTCCCTTAATCTTTCCTCATAGGACATTCCCCTTAGCTCTAAAACTAACCTTGTCGCAAACCTTTGTACTTTCTCTAGTTTCTTGACGTGCTTTATCAAGTGCGGGTTCCAAACAGGTGCTGCATACTCCAGTATGGGCCTGACATACACGGTGTACAGTGTCTTGAATGATTCCTTACTAAGGTATCGGAATGCTGTTCTCAGGTTTGCCAGGCGCCCATATGCTGCAGCAGTTATCTGATTGATGTGTGCTTCCGGAGACATGCTCGGTGTTATACTCACCCCAAGATCTTTCTCCTTGAGTGAGGTTTGCAGTCTTTGGCCACCTAGCCTATACTCTGTCTGTGGTCTTCTGTGCCCCTCCCCCATCTTCATGACTTTGCATTTGGCAGGATTAAATTCGAGAAGCCATTTGCTGGACCAGGTGTCCAGTCTGTCCAGGTCTCTTTGAAGTCCTGCCTGGTCCTCATAAGATTTAATTCTCCTCATTAACTTCACATCATCTGCAAACAGGGACACTTCTGAGTCTAACCCTTCCATCATGTCGTTCACATAACCAAAAATAGCACTGGTCCTAGGACCGACCCCTGTGGGACCCCGCTCGTCACAGGTGCCCACTGTGATACATCATTACGTACCATGACTCGTTGTTGCCTCCCTGTCAGGTATTCTCTGATCCATTGCAGTGCCCTTCCTGTTATATGCGCCTGATGCTCTAGCTTCTGCACTAATCTCTTGTGAGGAACTGTGTCAAAGGCCTTCTTGCAGTCCAAGAAGATGCAATCAACCCACCCCTCTCTCTCTTGTCTTACTTCTGTTATTTTATCATAAAACTCCAGAAGGTTTGTGACACAGGATTTGCCTTCCGTGAATCCGTGCTGGTTGGCATTTATACTCCTGTTCCGTTCCAGGTGCTCCACCACTCTCCTCCTGATAATC